AATGGGGGGGGGGGGGGGGGCAGGGAGTAACTGTTACGAGCTGCATCCATCGGGAAGGGGGCCTTGGGCTGCTGCTCCAGCCTGGGCTTCCCGGTGACCCCATAACGCAGCCAGCTGGTTCCGGAGCTGATGGAGCCCTCGCCGCTGAGCCAGACAGCACTGGCTGCGCGAAGCTGGGCTCCCAGAGAGATGGGGCTCAGGGGCTGCTGCCGCACTTCACCCTCTGGCTGATGGGACACACAGCACCAAGACGGCGGGTCACTGCCCCGGCACAGCGGGGACCGGGGTGCTCAGGTCCTTACGACAGTGAGGGCACGCTCCTGTCGTGCCCCTTGGGGACAGGGCAGGACCCACCGCTCTGTCCCTCCTGTGATGCCCCTTCCCAGCACAGAGATGCTGCATCCACGGAGGCAAACGCACCTTCCCGTGCAGCCCTTCCCTGGCTGGGCATTACCCCCGGGCAGGGCAGAGCGCTGCAGGCAGGGAGGGCCGATGCCCACTCTCGCAGGCCACCCTCCTGCCCTGCCCGCTTAGCGGGTCGGTGTGTTGGTCACTGCCCTGGTGCCCAGGAACCAGCCACATCCCCCCCAGCCGGGCCTCTGGCACAACCGACTGCGCCGAGACGCCTGCTGAGGCCCAGCGCCGGTTTGTCCCAGTGCTCTCCAGGCTTCTCAGCTCTCCCGCAGATTTTCCCTGCGGCTGCCGTCCCCAGCCAGCGGTTCGGCGCAGGCAGCGGAGAGAGGCTGGCCTGTCTCAGTCTCGTGGCCGTCTGTCACGGCTCTTCTCAGCTTCGTTATCACCTCTGCTTTATTACAGGCAGAGTAAATTGCTTTTGTCTGAAGCAGGATAATGGCCAGAAGAGTGACTGCGTGGAAATGGCATTTTCATGAGGCTGGTTCCTCCCCAGCAGTGACTTGCATATTAAGCTCAGCCCGTTTGCAAGCGAGCCCAGGGGCTTCTCTGCTGCCCTGCCCACAGCCTCCTCCCCAGGCTGGCATCAAGCAGCCCCCAAACCCACCGGGGTCCGGGACCCAGCTGGGGGCAGCACCCCAGCCCGCTGAGCACCCTCGCCATCCCAGAGGAGACCCGGCCCCAGCAGACAGCTGCCCCCAGCTCCGCAGAGCCAGAGGGTCTGCACGGGGGGCACGGCGAGCGGGGCTGCCAGCCGGCTCACCCCACACCAGCCCCGCTCCAGCCACCCTCCCCAGGGACGGGGAGCCAAGAAACCCGCATCCAGCCGCCTCCTCCGTGCACAAACCCAGCCAGGAGCAGGGGGAGACCCCCACAGCCGGGGCACGGCCCCACACGCAGCCCCTGGCGTCGGGCGCTGCCACGGGGCTGCTGGGTCCTGCACGTGGATCCAGCGGGGTCCTCTCCTCCAACTCCCGCTCCCAGGATTTCATATAAACTCAGCAAAATTAATCTCTTCTAATAAAACCTGTTATTTTTAAAGCTTGCCTCTAGGTTTTGCAAATTACTAAACCACACAGCAATTTGTTTACTCTCCATTTGAGGTGATTTGCAGCCTTTCACCCTCCCCAAGCAGCTCCAGCTCTTGGTTTTCCTCCTCTGTAGACTGTTTTTTACTGCTCCGGTGGCCGATGCCTCCCGCTCCCTCTCCTCCTCGCCAGCGACATGGTTCCCTGGCAAGGAGCAGCCCAGGGCAGCACAAGCCCCCACAGCTCCGCCAGGGAGAGCTACGGCATGGCGGCTGTTACTGGTTCTGGCAAAGCAGAATTTCCAACAGCCCCCTTGCCCTGCAGCTGCTTAATATTTTTCTCCTGACAAAGTACCCTGCGTGTTTACAGGCTCCTGTGCCATGGGCTCCCCTGAGAGCGTGGCTCTGCAGGCGAGACCCATGGCAGGTGGCAGAGAAGAGCGTGGCTCTCGCTGTGGCCCGCAGTCACCAGCCACACCGTGCCCTTCCTCTGCCGCCGGCGCTGGCTGATACCGGGCCAGCAGCTTTTGATTTTGTTACTCTAACACATGACAAATTGCTTCATATCAGCAAAGTGAGAGGCGAGTGCTACAGAGCTCTGGGGATTAATAACCTGCAAAGCAGGCAGGGGACTCCTGGCAGCTGGGGCCAAGCTGGGCACTGCCAATGCTGGGAGCTCCCCTCCTACAGCGGGGCACAGCCCAGTCCTGGGGGCAGCCAGCACCCCCACTTTGGGGACCCCAACCTCCTGCCTGGCCGGAGACGAGGCCTTCGCTCCAGGAGCCCAGGCAGGGGTTGGGACTGGCACCCGGTAGCACGGAGAGGGGCCAGAGCCCCAGCAGCCCACCCAACCTCCCCACTGCACCCAGCGCCCCGTGACCACAGTGTGGAGCAGCCCCCACTCACCCAGGACCTGGCCATATCATGCATCCACAGATCAGCATCACCCAGCTCCCAGGCAGGGCAGGGAGCTCCCACCTAGCTCCCCAGCTGCAGCTTTTAAACGCTCTGAGCCCTCAGCTGTGGGTGATGATGCCCATCCCCATCCCCATCCCCAGGCGGCCCCAGCCCAGTGCCCAGCAGCCCCCAGGGGCAGCCCCAGCCCTGCCACCCCAGCTGCGCCCCTTCTTAGCCAAGACAGTGCCAAAGCCACGTCCCCTCGCCATGCCAGGGGCAGAGACTGCAGACCCGCAGAGGCTTCGTTTAAAGAGCTTTATTAGCTGCAGCAGGTCTGTTGGTGGCAGGCGTGGCGGTGTGGGCGAGTGGCAGTAGGGGAGCAGTGCCTGGCACCCGGACGGGGCGACCCGGGACCCCCCTCTCCCTGCCCGTGGCCCCATCCCCAGCGGTGGTGTTTACCCGTGGGGGCACCAGGGATGGACTTTGCCATTTGCACTGCGACACAGGAGCCCGTGAGCCGGACCCTGCCCGGGGCAGCACGGTGCCATGGTGCAGGAGGAAGGGGAGCTGGGCTGGGAGCGGGGGGCCAAGAGCTGCGCCAGCACGGGCAGCAGGGACGGAGCGAGGGCAGCCAGGGCTGATGGCCGAGCCCCGCTTCCTCTGTGAAATGCAAAGGGCCAGGAGGAGCAATGGGTGAAAGCAAGTCCAGCTCCGACGGCATGGCTCCCCGGGCACACACGGACCGCGGGCAGCTGCCTGGCTGGGCGATGCCGCGGCACAGCCTGCAGCGCCACAGCTGTGCTGGGAGCGCGCTGGGAGCGTGCTGGGAACGTGCCGTGCCGTGCCGTCCTTCCTCCACCGAGCTCAGGCCTTGACGTGCTGGGACAGCTTTGGGGCAGGCAGGGGCAGGGAGAGGCGATATACACGGTCTGTAAGATGGATGCTGGAACTTATATACGCGCTGCGGGGCTGGAACAGAGCAACTAAACTGGGCCTCCTACGGGAATGGACGGTTGGTTCTGCAAAGCACAAGGGAGGGCAGGGAGGGTCCCGCGGGCAGGGGGGGCCTCTGCCGGGCACGCAAAGCTGGGGCACAACACGGCCTGTGGCACCACGGGCGGCGGCAAGCAGCAGGGCGCCCACCCGCACGGGGCCAGTGGGGATGGGGACCACCAAGTGTGGGCGCACACCCCGGGCATGGTCCCAGCGATGCCCCCCCGGCGCGGACTCGGTCCTGCTCCCACACCGAGCCCTGGCACCGCTGAGCCACAGGGCTGGGGAGAAGAAACCGAGTCGCCGGCTCCGCTGAGTCCGGGGCGGCGGGGGGCTCCGGTGTCCCCCCGGCACTGCCTGCCTACAGCACACAGGAGGCGTCCACCGAGCGCTTCTTCAGCTCCTTCCCGGCTTTGTGGTGGTGGTGGTGGTGGTGCGCGTGGGCTGAGCCTGGCGCAGCAGGGTCCGGCAGCGGGGCGCCCCGCAGCTGGGTGTCCTGGGGGTGCCCCGCGCCCCCCGCCGCCTCCACCCGCAGGTATGCCTTCACCTTGTGGTGCCGCGCCTTGCCGTCACTGGAGTCGATCACCCGGCACTCGTACGTCCCCTCGTCCGCTGGCTTCACCCGCGACAGCCGCAGCTTGTGGGAGATGTTGCTGCCAACCACCTTCACCACCTGCGGTGGAGCAGACGGGGGGTCAGGCGGCCCCCAGGACCCCCATGACCCTGGACACCTGGCTCAGCACCACCCCTGACCGTACGCCGCTACGCCGCGCCCCAGCCGTGTGCTGGGGAGGATGCGGCGAAGGACGGCGAAGCCAGGCAGTCGGCGTGGGGGGACCCTGGCCCCAGTCCCAGCCCGCCGGATGATGGAGTCCCCAGTGCACACCCGGCCGTGCGGGGCTCGGAGATCAATGCGGAACCACGCCGGCTAATTAGCTTTTCTACCAAATTGATTCGCTCTCAGTATTTATCACCCAATGAAATTTAAGACTTACTCACTAGCCAGAGCTGCAGCTGCTGTTGGGCTGGGTCAATAAATCAGATTTATAACCCGCCCCGAGGCCCCTGGCTCTGTTCCCTATAATCACACTGGATGGCAAAGGCCATTTTTCTACTTGCCGCCGCGTTTGTTAGCTGAAGATTTTATGGTGTTTAGAAATGGGGCTGGGAGCTGCAACCAAAAAGCCACAAACTCCCAGCCCAAAAGGCAAAGGAGACAGCACCGACACGTGGGCGGCAGCGCAGGGATGGGGGCCCCGTCACCGGCCCCTCCGACGGGCTGAGCCACCGCAGCCGCCACGGCAGCCAGTGCCTGCACACGCGTGCACATGTGAGCACATGCAAGCACATGTGAGCGCAGGCGAGCAGCTGCGCCCAGCTGCCCTGCACGCCGTGGGCTGCTGAGAAGCGGCCGGTGCCACACGTCATGGCCGGGGCCACCCCAAAGGGCGGCTCTGGGGCTGCTCAGAGCCCACGCGCAGCCGTGACCACCGATCCTGCGGCGCCACGGGTGGGAGTCCAG